TGGAAGGAAGGAGATTGTCAGGTGATCTGTGGCAGGGTGAGATCAGAGGGATTTAGTATAAGTTTAGTTTACAGTTAGTATAGATTTTGATTACAGTTAGTATCAGTCTAGATTACAGTTAGTATCAGTCTAGATTACAGTTAGTATAGGTTTTGATTACAGTTAGTATCAGTCTAGATTACATTTAGTAAGAGTTCAACTGATTTTAAGCAAAAAGGTTTAGTTTAAATTGTTGTCATTCTTAATTAGTATGCTTAATACTAAAGTACAAGTGAATTTTGTTTTTTCTAAATGTGACTGGGACTAAATGATCTAAACATTCACCCTGAACTAACCACAGAAAGCAGCGTTCAGTTTCTTCAACTTAAATTTAATCGCGTTTTTGTCTATAATTTTTTACTTACGGTGTTGATTTTTTACTGTTTCATTAAATTTTTTTAATTTTTTTTCACCCACAAAAAATTTTAAACCAAATAAAATGTTTAACCAAAATTTGATCTAAAGTTCCGACTTGCTTCGACAAGAACCATGTATTGTTAAAACAACTTGAAATGTTTAATAAGAGTTTAAAAGTACACTTGAGAAGGACAGTATTCGTTTATCATTGTTTGTCTACAACTAAAGATTAAGTGAAGGGGTTCGATCAGACTGCCACAGGAGGATGAAGAGAATGACAAACATTTAAACGTTGCGAATACACACACGTACTTACAAATTCTACTGTGCAAATATGCGAATATTTTACTGTGAATCAGAGGTCCTGTTTAAAAATCAGTACGCTCAAACTTTGGATTTCTAAACAATAAATAAAACAATAAATGTTTTGAATTTGCTCTTTGATTCTTTTTTGCTGGACTATGCATTTCAAATATTAAAGTACATATATATAATTTCTTTTTTTTCTTGACTATGCATTTCAAATATTAAAGTACATATATATAATTTCTTTTTTGTTGGAACGTGCATTTCAAATTCAAAGTGCATATGCATAATTTTGTACACTATTATTGACGGATATTCAATTAAAGACTAAAATATCCCAATACAGAATGTATTTCGTCGTGGTTAAATGTTACGTGATTTGAAGATATGGAGATGAAATTCCTAGCCATGAAGGGATGTTGAACATAACTTAAAAACCTTTTTACATGCTTATTATTCTTTTAGGTCTTTATATTTCCTATTATATAATTATAGAGGTATTTCATAAAAAAGCTATATTTAAAGGTTGATGGTTGTGCAAAGGTCGTACATATGTCGGATATAGGCCGAACAAACGTCGTACATAGGTCTTGTATCTGGCCTGAAGTAAATGAGGATTTACTTAGAGTAACTGACAGAGACAACGTAAAGATCAATATTTTTAGATTTCAATTGTACTGCAAAATGTACAAGTTTTAAGCTCGTCTTACCCTTTCCAAAATAGTCTTTTCTGTTTGTTAATAATTAGATAGATCTGCAATCTGTTCCTTTTCATAAATCATATCAAACTAAAATAAAACTTTTCACAATTTTCCTATTTTTGTTTTTTATTTTTAGGATTAATAATCTATTATCATATCCAGCTATTACACCTTCACGTGAGGTCACAATGGGTCTCTTATCCAAGACTGGATACAGAAATAGCTGGGTAGGAATTTTGTAAAGCTGGCTCGCCAATGTGATAACCAAAACGTGATCACATTGTAAATTCTATACTATGTTCTTTTATTCTTTTAAGAAATAACCATTTTTATCTGATTGCAATTGTTAACTTTAAAGAGATACGTATCTATATAGGTGTAACTTTTCAAGCTCTTTATACAGGTTAAATCTTCGGGTATTTTTAATAAGAAAACACCCTCTCCACGTGATAGTTTGTTCGACTAAGTTCAATGGCTTTATTACATAAACTATTAAAGGAATAACTCCACCACCCTCCTTCCCCTTTCCGTCATCAATCTAACCCTCTCTTCGTTTATATGAAGAAAAAGTTAGTTTGGTTTCTAGAAAGTTCGATCCAATCAAGTTAGTTTGGTTTCTAGAAAGTTCGATCCAATCAAGTTAGTTTGGTTTCTAGAAAGTTGGATCCAATCATGGTTTTCATGATGAGCTTAAATATTCAGGAAGCATACATTAGCTTTACTCATTCAAAACTTTCTATCCAGAGAGTTTGAAGAGATTTAGGAGAAATCAGCTGTACTGATTCAAAACTTTCCATCCAGAGAGGATGCAAGAAATGTAGGGGAACCCAGCCTCACTGATTCTAAACTAACTATCCAAAGAGAATGCATGAATATTGGAGAAATCATCCTTACTGAGTCCAAACTAACTATCCAGAGAGAATGCATGGATATCGGAAAAATCAGCTTTTCTCATTCAAAAATTTCTGCATTATGTAAATCTTTCTTTTGCTGTTTTTCCTGAATTTTCTTTTTATTCGGTTTAATATTGATTTTTCAGATGAAAACTCAGTATATCCGGTTTAATGTTGATTTTTCAGCTGAAAACTCAGTATATCCGGTTAAATGTTGATTTTTCAGCTGAGTTCTCAAAATATCCGGTTTTCAGATGAATCCTTAGTATATCTGGTTTAATGTTGATTTTTAACCGAAAACTCAGTATATCCGGTTTAATGTTAACATTTCAACTGAGTTCTCAGTATATGCGATTTAATGTTGACTTTTCAGCTGAAAACTCAGTATATCCGGATATCCTTTGAATAAACCTTTTCTTCTCGGGCTCTTTGACAATCAATCAAGCTATCCCAGGAATAATAACGAATCTCTTAGATTTTGATCAACAATTTTCTTGAACAAAAACTGTAAAAAGAAGCTTATTGCCTAATTCCTATAACTTTTCAACTTTATGGTGTAAATGATATTATATTTATTTGACCTAACATAAGACACAGTTTAAAGTATTAAAGGTCTACGACATTGGATTGCAAAAATATGGAAATTAGAAAATCAGAGTTTGTGGCAAAAACTAAGTTTCTTTATATGAAACCTAGCGTTGCCCAGGGTACTCATAGTTAGTCGCGCCGTTTACCCGCGCTTGATCGTTTATTGCGATTTTAGGTATGAATGTAGACCCACTCAACTTAGAATATTCCCGTTATTCTCTCGTACAAAATTTGATGCAAATCAATCGGACAAGAGGTTCCTGAGTTATGATCGGACAAACAAACAAAAAGAAATTGCAACTTTATCGTATATAGATGACAATGTTGTGTAAAACAAGTGTGTGTTGTAAAAACAAAGAATTTCTTGTTTTCCAACTTCCAGTCATCAAATATTCATAAAGCTTAAATACAGTTTTACAGTCCTCGTACATCTCATTACAGGGTAAACTTGAAAATGAACATTTCAATTTTAATTTTTGTGATTTCTTTATTGTTGGGTTGAATCCAAAATTAAGCATAAAAACAGAGAGAAAAAAATTGATAATTATACAAAACCCCTTTACGTTGGAATTCAACAAAAATTTTAGTTGCACATATTAGATATCGAGATCAAGTGTTCAAGATCAAAGATACTCCGCACTGAAGTTCAAAACTCTATGTTGCTTCCTTATAAACAGAACAATAGTCGACCAGATGATGTCTCCGTCTGTGTGCGTCCTATTTATCTCAGGGAATAAGAATAAAGGGAAAGGAAAGGCACTGGAATGGCATGATAAAGCCAGTCGCACTACTTTGCAGACGAGTTCGGTATTACACACGCACACTATTTTGGTACAGACACACAACATGACTACAGTCAAGGAAATTGCAGAACAATGTCGTCAATTATAAATAAGCTTGAATAACGAGTAGTTTATTGTAAATTTTAATCAAATTATATACTTTGCATAAAAATTTGGCATATAGTGTTGACTTAAATGTACAAATAATATAGTACATGTAAATTAAACTTATTTTTAAGTAAACAATTAACAATAAACAAATGTACTCTCCTAGACTGTACAAATACCTACAGTACACACCCTCAGTTCGGTATCACTTACACACACTCTTTTTGTACAGACACAGATTCATGACGTTTCCGCCCCCAGATTTATCTATCTATCAAAAGAGAATCTTACGTAAGACATCTATCGACCAAACTATCGTCCGCTCAAGGACGGCCCTTTTTTATACAAAAAAATGTATACTCTGATAAATCAGAAATAAATCAGTGTACTGTCAGTACTCTACCCGGGAGATAATCCTATTGTCTAGATTACAAACATGTTGATTAGATCAAACCAAACCTACATCAAACAATATTATATCTGCAGCACTTTATGTTATTTCTATTGTTTTATTCCACTATCATTTATCAGCAGGAGTACCTGGCATTGCATATACCCTTCAGTATTCTTTTATTGGGCACGGGCAACCGGGTTTGAATGCTTCATTATATTCTATTTATCATATACTGAGGAAGAGAGAGAGAGAGCAGGCAAGAATTCTAAAAGCCTTGTAATTAATAGGTGTCAGAAGCTACCTCTTCTCGTGTCGTGTTTTTATCTCATTTTCTAATTAAAAAATGCTTAATATTTCTAACTCATTTTTTCCATTTTTTTCCACAATAATTATCAGTAACGAAGGAATTGATTCTTTGCCACAAACTCTGATTTTCTAATCCCTATACTTTTGTAACCCAAAGTTGTGGATCTTAGATATTTCAAACTGTAAATTATGTTTGATCAAATAATCTAAATTTGAAATATCAATGGTTTACACATCATTAGTTTGCAAAGATATAGGGATTATAATTTATGAGTTTGTAGCAAAAACTCTAAGCTTATCGTTACTATAATAGTTTCTACATGTTTTCCTGCAGTAGAATCCACATAGTTGAAAATAATAAGTTTTCCAAATTATAAACATTATTATCTAATTCATAAACCATACTTGGACAAGACAAAGCTTTTAAGAGTATCGTAGTGAATCTTTTTATGGAGGGTCGCAGAAAGATACACTTTACAGCCCCCTAGAATTAATGAGAAAGATCTCAATGATTATATAACAATCCTTTCCCGTAAATTATTATATTTCAAATAAATTTACAATTTGTCCTCCTCAGTAAAGTAGTGTGAGAGCCCATACCACCAGTAGCCAAGGGAGAAGATGAAGGTTACAACTGGCATTAGAACTTTAGGGATAAGATCACCAAACCTCGCCATAAACCCTTCAGCACTAGCTAAACACAAATATGTTGAGTTTATATTCTCGAGGGAACTGATTACTCGCCATAAACCCTTCAGCACTGGCTAAACACAAATATAGTGAGTTTATATTCTCGAGGGAACTGGTTACAACTGACATTAGAACTTTAAGGATAAGATCACCAAATCCGCCATAAACCCTTCAGCACTGGCTAAACACAAATATAATGAGTTCATATTCTCGAGGGAACTGATTACTCGCCATAAACCCTTCAGCACTAGCTAAACACAAATATACTGAGTTTATATTCTCGAGGGAACTGATTACTCGCCTACAACTTAAATTTTCTAGCCCCTACATTTTTGCCATTTGAAGGTGTAGCTATTTGATATTAATACTCTGACAATAGAATATTCATGATCTTGCTTAATCTAAAGTTTCAAATATTAAAGTTCTTCAAATTTATGGTGCGAACAAATCAGGAAAAAAAAAAATTAGAGTTCCTTTTATAGATAAATATTCATGGCAAATAGCACAGAAAAGACATATCTTCATTTAGCTAAATCTTTCCCTTTTTCATTCTTCAAAGTGCCTTTTTTTTAGGGCCTAGTAAGATTTTTCTAGAACAATTGCTTCAATCCTGCCTCAATCCTACCTCAATCCTGCCACAATGCTGATTTATCCTGCCTCAATCCTGCCTTAATCCTGTCAAAATCCTGCCCCTATTCTGCTTAATGCTCTTTCAATCCTGCCCCTATTCTGCTTAATCCTGCCTCAATCCTGTCCAAATCCTTCCACAATGCTGCTTTATCCTGCCTTAATCCTGCCTCAATCCTATCCCAATCCTGCCACAATACTGCTTTATCCTGCCTCAATCCTGCCTCAATCCTATTCCAATCCTGTCCCAATCCTATCCCAATCCTGTCCCAATTCTGCTTAATGCTCTTTCAATCCTGCCTCAATTCTATCCCAATTCTTCCCCAATTCTGCTTATTCCTGCCTCAATCCTGCTAATCCTGCCTCAATATTGTCTCAATCCTGCTTATTCCTGCCTCAATCCTGCTTAATCCTGACCCAATTCTACTTAATCCTGCCTCAATATTGTCCCAATCCTGTCCCAATCCTGCTTAATCCTGCCTTAATATTGTCCCATTCCTGCCCAAATCCTGCCTCAATATGATCCTGCCTCAATCCTGTCCCAATCCTGCCTCAATAATGTCCCAATCCTACCCAATCTTGCTTTATCCTGTCTCAATTTCTCAACTTTTGCAATTTTCAATGTTAACTTTTAAATATAGAATAAAAATTAAAGAAAATGTGGTTTAAAAAAAGAATGGCAATACAGTGCAAAAAAAAATAATGCAAAAAAAGAATGCAAAAAAAATAATGCAAAAAGAATGCAAATATTCGAAAATCATCACTTCTTTAACTCCGGCACAACAGGAAATAATAATTAAATTTCAACATAAGAACAATTTACCATTTTCATAAAATGATTTTACAGCTTCTGTCTGAACCTTCTCATCGATGTTGGTTAAATTTTTCTCCCAAGCAGGGATAACAGAAACCCCTACTGGAGTTACAGTCCTAAAATATCAAACTCTCACGGGGGTCAACTATAGTTACAGGATAGACTTTGTACTTTAATATGATCCAGAATTTTAAGATTTAAAAAAATGTTATTTCTAGATTCATCAGTTTTTTTTCGAAAGGAATTGATTCTTTTCTGCAAACTCTGATATTCTCAGTTCGTATCTTTGCACCCCAAAGATGGAGGGATTAATAAATCAGAGTTTTCGACATAAATCAGTACAGTAAAATTTTAAAGGTCTCACTAGAGGTCTCACTAGAGGTCTCACTATAGATCTCACTAGAGGTCTCATTAGAGGTCTTACTAGAGGTCTCACTAGAGGTCTCACTAGAGGTCTCACTAGAGNCAGTTGTAGCTGATAAACACATTAAAAGAATACATTTGTAGCTGATAAACACACTAAAAAAATACAGTTGTAGCTGATAAACACACTAAACAATTACACTTGTAGCTGATAAACACACTAAACAAATATATTTGTAGCTGATAAACACACTAAAAAATATATTCGTAGCTGATAAACACACTAAAGCCTGTGGATATTTTAAACACTATTTTTAAAAAAATACTTTGGTTTATACCAGCCTGTGGATATTTTAAACACTATTTAAAAAAAAAATACTTTGGTTTATACCAGCCTGTGGGTATTTCAAAACACTATTTTATTCAAGAGATGCTCTATACCTTTGAAACATCATCTTGGATGGCTGTTCTTCTTCCTTTGGTCGCATTACACCGTCTTCACCAATAACAAACGCAGTACCGTGCCTATTTACTTCACGCTCCTCTAGAATTTAAATCAAATTAAATCAAATATAAAATTGTTAAAAATGGATAACATTTTAAATATTTTTTAATATATATATATATTGTAGCAGCATAATTCGAGTCTAAATGAAAGTTAACAATGCTCGAGAATTATGGAAAATCCGGGAACAGGAAAACCGCTGCTACAATCATAATGGACTGTCAATTTCACTGTTTAAGTGACCATCACTACCAAATTCATAACTGTGGTCTTTAGCCTTTCATTAAATGAAAAATAAGGAATTTTTGTCGTTTTTATTTTTTAAAAGGGTAAAAAAAACACTTAAATGAAAATTCCCATAAATTCTCATTTTTAGACAAAAGATGTTAAAAAAGTTGTTGGGGATTTTTGAAATTTTTGGGGAAAGCCACAAAAGTCAAAATTCAAAAAAGGAGTTTTTTGATTTCAGTGATATTTCTCAAGGTATTTACTAGAGATAAAACTTTACTCTATGGATGGGATAATTATTGAAACTAAATCTTGACTGCAGAGGCTAGGTGTGAAAATATTTCATTTTCAGATGAGAAAACCAGATAAAACTCCTGAATTTTTGCTTAACCCTATTCCCGCTGGGGGGGGGGGGCAATTTGCCCCCCCCCCCCCAGCGTATCCTGGTTTTCAAGTACCCCAGCGAGGATAGGGTTAAATAAAGATTGAATTCTATTTACTATATAATTACCACTTTCTCTGTACATGTCGATAAACGTGTGAAGAATAACTTGACAAAAGGGGATTAGCTGAGAGAAAATCAACCAGACATCTATCATCTTTATATATGCTGTCGGGGGCAATGATGCTAAAAAACATGTTTTTATTTTTATTCAACAAAAGTAGACGTCTGATTAATGAAAAGGTGTTTTCGAGAAGCAAACTAGGAAACAAATATAAAAAAACATATGTAAAGAGAGTGTTCTCGAAAGATTAAAGAGGGTATAGGCTTATGTAAGAAAATTATCGATGGTGATCGCTACTTAATCTTACTTAATTTTATCAGTTGCGTTTATAATATCAGGAGAAAATTCTAAGTTGAAAGGACTTCAACGACACCTAGCGACCAAAAAAATCGTCATTTAAAGTACATCTGTTAACCCAAATTCAAAATATAAGGAAGACGATTCTACTGATTCTGTATGCCGTTGTTTGTTTCAAGACGTGTGAATCCTTTTCCGCATGCATGTCACCCAACCCCCTCCGCCCCCCCCCCCCCCCCTCTCTACACCTCCTGGCCCTCAGTCAGCTAGAAACACTTAAGACGATCACAACTCCGTCTCAACCCTGGCTCCTTCATGATGGTGATTCAGATACCGAGCTAACCGCAGACACTGCTTACATCTAGCCCCACAATGTTCCAGAGTTGAGTCACGGAAGTTCTCTCCAGACTTTCAACATTATCATGCATTCCAGAGACAACATAATCGCTCAATTGCACACGATAAAACCGCGATCTCTCTCTTTTAGTCTGAAGCCTAGTTGTGAGCAAACCTGCTGTCAAGATTGATGATCTGCACCACATGAAGCTTTACAAAGCTCCCATGATGTTACCACTGATGTTCGTCAATAGTTTTCTTTGTTCATTTCTAACCAACCAATTTTTAACCATGTCTTGAGCAAATATTTCAAAACACTTTCGTTTTTTAAATGAATGTTAAGAAATATCCATTTAGATCTCTTTGTTTTAATATTGTGACTTTTAAAGTCAACAACATCGTATTTGACAAAAAAAATATCAAAATATCAACTATACTCGAATGCCTCGACAAATTATCGATGATTATAGGTTGTTACATGTGAATGATTTGTTTGGAATTAAATAGTTTTTTTTCGCTCCTAGAGTCGAAAGTTGCAACTTTTAAAATTTGTGTGGACGCTACGTTCTTCGGTGTGAGTCGTTTTTTAAAATTCTCCATAATAGTGGCAACAGATAGAAGTAAGTAGCGATCACTATTTATATTTTTTCGACTTAAGCCTTATTCCCCCTTTCCTTTTCGCCAACACTCCCTTTAAGTAATTGGTCAGTTTAAAAAATACTTTAACGCTTAAAAGCAAGTCCTGCCAAAAATGCAAACAATTAAATACAAAATAATGGAATATGGACACCCTTTCAGGTAGCTATGGGAAGCTGTACACTGTGCAGTATACAATTAAACCTACAGACTATGGACTATAAGAGTTCATCTCCTTTTTGTAAGATTATATTTGAANGGGGGGGGGGGGTTGCAAAATTTCCAATATTTGTACCTGAAACACTAATAAACAAGGTTGTTAACACTAGCTGAGCAGTCAGGTTTACTGTAACAATAGCTTCAAAGAAGAAAGGTTTAAAAAAATTTGTCATGTAACACATGACAAGGATTAGAAGGGAGGGCAGATAGGTAGTTAAAATCTCGTTCATTATTCTCCGCTTTAAGGTTATCACCACCAGTATACCTAAAATTATTTTTTAATTTCTTATATTTTATTTTTTTATAACTTATTAGAAAAGTCTTTTCCGCAAACTCAAATTTTAGAATTCATAAATCTTCGCAATCTGATGGTGGAAATCTGTGGTATTTTATACTGTAGACAATTATAAGATCTAACAGAATTCTTAGATCGAAATATTAAAGATCTACGACATCGGTATGCAAAGATATTGGGATTTTTAAAAATAGAGCTTGTGGCAAAAAAATCATTTCGTTCATCTGTAATTATCTAATCACTCTATTTTGTAATAGTGTAAACCGTTGATTTATCAAACTTACATATATTTTTCTAGCTGACTTCATAATTTGAGATATAAAAGGTAAAATACATAATTATTAGAAAATTACTCTATGATGCTTTTAATATTTATTTGTTTGTTCACTTAAATATACCTTCTGTTGGTTGCTCTGGGTTGGTATAGTTTAGTTTCCAGTGAGTGATTATATACTAATATAACATAATTAGATTAATCATTCTTCATTCTATAGAAATATAGAATTTTTTGTAATTCCGTTTACATAGTTTACTATTTTTAAATCGTTCACATAGTTTACTATTTTTAAATCGTTTACATAGTTCACTATTTTAAAATCGTTTACACAGTTTACTATTTTAAAATCGTTTACATAGTTCACTATTTTTAAATCGTTTCGATAGAAATCGATCTGGTTCTTGTAAATATTATAATTTAGTGAGTTTGTGTCCCATCTCATGTATTTTTTATCTATCACTCAAAACACAGTCTTCAGTAGAAAAACAAAAGATGTTTACTTTGGTTTAGATTAAAAACAGAATTTGTATAATTTCATTGTTGAAGCAAAAAGTAACAGAGGACTCTTCAACTTTGATGTTTTTGTATAAAATAATTTTACACCGAGAAGAAGGAACTCAATTTTGTCGCAATTGTATACGAAAAAAACTTGTAGGTTTTACCTTTTAACNGGACCTCTGAACATAAATTTTAAATAAAGAAAATGCTCAATCAACCTGAGTAAGAATTGTTTCTCCCTCCATGGCTAGATAATCCGGAGTAATAAACACATTGTAGGCATCCAATTCTCTAATATAAATATGCTTTGTAAACATTTAAACAATATTTTATTTAAACAACCAACTATATTTAAACTTAGCATAGTTGGTCATTCAAATATTGGCTTCCTTGATTTTCTATTTTTTCGGAGTAAATGAAATGTAATGTTTATTATAAATACCACATTAATCCTACAATAATTCAATATTTTATATTTGTCAAACATTTACCTTAAAACCATATTAACAGTGCACCTTTGAGTGTCAAATGGATACATTTGAAGCTCATAAACACACTAAAATAATACAGTTGTAGCTGATAAACACATTAAAAGAATACATTTGTAGCTGATAAACACACTAAAAAAATACAGTTGTAGCTGATAAACACACTAAACAATTACACTTGTAGCTGATAAACACACTAAACAAATATATTTGTAGCTGATAAACACACTAAAAAATATATTCGTAGCTGATAAACACACTAAAGAAATATATTTGTAGCTGATAAACACACTGAAAAACATATTTGTAGCTGAGCATTACCTTGTCCGCCTATTTATATTTTCAATAATAATGATGTTTTTGTTCAGGTCTGGTCATGTAATACAGACGGAAATCACGTGACCAGTATTCTGCACTGCCATGGGCAAAAGTTCTGGTGACGTAATACGGACTATACGGATTATATGTATTTATATTATCAATTATATCTTTCAAAAATGCAAAATGAAAATTAAAAAAATATAATAGCAGCAGACCTGGGATTCTTAGGCTCCTGTGGGATATCGTCGTTTTCAGATTGGTTGCGTATTTGTTTAATATGATCTGTTTAATGCTACAACTTTTATGCAAAATTGCATATATATAAATTTTCGTCTAAATTTGACACAGTTTTATATTATTTCTCAAGACAGGAACATCAGATAGATATTTTATATGTATCGTTCAACGCCTGAGATTCTCAGGTTTCATCCTATACCCCCTTTCATCTTTCCGTTACAGTCCCTTTAATACAATATGAGACCCATTAAGAAATGGTAGTTGATAATGATCCGAATACAGAATAGTTACCTTAAATGTTTTAGTGTAAACTCTTCTAAACGTTATTCTATTATCCTTCCCACTGAATATATTTATTTCTTCCGTAAACGTGTCAGCACTTCTTGTAAAGTTGCCTTCCCTTTAACAGATAATGATTACAATAATAATAATAATAATAATAATGATCATAATAATGATGATAAAAATGATTTAATAATAATTTTAAATTTGTAGCATTGATTAGAACAAGAAACAGAGTTAGTTTACAATATATATTCGCAACAGGATGATCTCTTCAAGGGGGAAGAGGGAGAGGCACTCCTCCCCTCTTGTTGTGCTCACCTAATGACTGTAAGTTCCGTATCATCATCCCCCTTGGTAAACTCATTAGTCTCCGTATTTTCAAAGAGTACAAGAGGAATCCAAAGATTCTGGATTTCTTCAGCTGACATCGCGTTCAGAGAATGGTTTACTATTAAACAAAAAACCTGCTAGAACAAACACTTAACTCAGATAAAAATTAATATTTATAGTTTTTTAATATAAATGCACACTTGTCCTTTTTAATTCACACAATAAGTAACATATTAAAAATTTGTCCCAATCTACCATTTGATTTTGAAGATAAATGGTAACAAAGTAAAAAAATAAAATAGCAAAAAAAGAGAAACAAAGATTTTATCATCTTCTTTAAAATAGGAAAGCTGTGACTTTCAATCACAGTTGGAACAATTAAACATAATTTTTTGTCGGCGAATGCGGTTTAAATAAAAAAGTAAAATGTAAGTTTAGAAATTGTTAAATTTTAGAAAAAAACGCTATGGAACATAAATTAATAAAAACAGACGCATCTCACCAATTGGTTATTCTAAAAAAAAAATGAGGTAAAAAATAATAAATACCTTTCAGATTAAAGTAGTTAATTCTATAATCATACCATTCCATAATCATAATAAACTTCATTGTATAAACATGGTCTTTCTCTTCGATTTTCAGAACATCCCTTAGAATTAAAGGAACTGTAAGCGTAATTTCAAGAAAACCTTCACTTAAAGGGAGTGTTCGCGAAAAGTAAAAGGGGGTGTGGGCTTACAGCGAAAAATAATCGCTTTTGATCACTACTAATCTTACTTCTATATGTTGCGCCTATAAGGAGAAAATTGTGAAAAACGACTTAAATACTGAAGAACGTAGCGTCCATAAAAATTCAGAAAGTTGCAGTATACGACTCGGATCATAAGAAAATTTCAAACAATTCGATAATTTATCGACGCATTCATATATAGTTCTTAGTACTTTTTATTTGTTTTGTATACATTGCACTTAAAGCGCCAAAGTATTTGGCTGCCAGATGAATAAACATGGCAGAGACGCCTAGCGGAAAAAGTCGTTTTAAGTGCATATATAAATTGAAATTTGGTCGACAGTCTCTCTATTGAAAAAAGAAAGATTTAAAGAAATTTAATTAGAAAAATAATTAATTAGTCAGAATGAATAAACAAAAACAAAGTTACTGGCAGTTGGAATTTTTTATTCCTTTCTTTTCTTATGAACCATTGTCTAAAGTAAATTAATTAAATTATAGGTTCAAAGTTAGTAGAGTGATAACCATAAAACTCTGCAATAGAAAGACGATTTTTAGTCTAAAGTTCTGACTTTAAATAGTCCAATGAACATTACACACAGCAATTGAGCAATGAAACAGACCCATTTCACTTAATTAGTGATTTAATAAGTATCTAGTAAAACTATTTGATTTAAAATAACATCAAATACACTCAGGTATTATTTCAATGTCGTCTTCCTATTCCATTGATTTCTAGTTAGAACTGTTTTAAGATTTTATTTCTTTGTTCCACAGGTTGGAAAAGGTTGGGAAACAACCATTAGATATTATGTATTCTATTAAATGCATAAAGGGTTTATAGTAAAAATATGCAAATCCAATGTTTTTACAATTCTAACCCTTACATTTATATTTTCTACTGTAGTCCACCATTGAATATACCTTGATATCTTTTATAAAATATGATTTTTGCTCCCATTCTTGAATTATGAAAAAAGGAAATAAAAACATACAAAATGTTTTTTTTCGTTGTTTTTTCATTTGTATCACAAAGTCCGTAGTGTAAAGAATTCTCTACTACTGATTATTACTAGACGTCCTAACCCACATTTACGTAATTTAGAAGGAGAAACTCTGGGTTTGTTGTTTAAAATTGAATTTCTAATGGTATTAAAGAAAAGTTTTAGGAAATTTCTTCACATTTTGTTAAATTGTCCGTTTATAAAGAAAACAATTTACACAAGATTTATTACTATAGCAACGTGTGTATTAACATTGCTACGAATATAACAGAGAAAAAACCAATGAATGGTCAATGGAGTAAACAAATTGAGTCTCTGCCAAACAATTCTGATTTCCTACTCTCTATATCTTTGCAACCAAACGCGTAGACCTATTTAAAACTATGAATTGTGTTAGACCAAATAATTTAAGTTAGAAATATTTTAAGCAGCTAGAGCAAGCTGTACAGTACACTGAAGTAATTATAGTGTTTCATAATATACTATTTATTATTTTGTCTTGACATCTTACAAGGACTAATTTCTCCAATCCAGTTATAAATCCTAGGGATTTCTGGATGGGATGGTTAGTGTGTGTGTAAATTTTTCACCTTGGATCCCAGTACTTTATAAATTCCTGTACAATCTCTCTCTGGATATCTTTAAGGTTTACTAATGATAGGGTTGTATTATCATTTAGACTTTTATTGCTAAAGTTAATCTGTAGAAAGTTAATCTTGATTTAATCAGGTCTTGATTATATTCTGGGAAACCATCCTCTAGCTAGGGAAAGTATACAGGTTCTCTGCCTGGCTATGATGGTTATGAGCATATCTAGCTCAGCTTGTGCTTGTGCTGGACCAGGATGTGGTCCAAAGATATCGCGAGAAAGGAGGAGATCCGCATTGTTATAAACTCTGAACTGTCCCTCAATAACAGCAATTCTCTGTCCTGTATTTGGGTAATTCTGATAAGCAATACTTGATCGTCCTCTGTCATCCTCAGGAAGGCAGCAATCTCTCAACAACAGCTTCCACATTCACTGCTGGTTCGTTTGCTGCTTCTACTATTATCCTAGCTGCTCTGGGAGTTAAGGGTATCTCTGGAGTTGGAGTACAAGGTTCAGGAGTATCTCTCAGGAGGTCCTTGATCTCTGGATCTGAACCTGGGGTCCTGGGTCTACAAATAGCTGCTGAATTATGAGAAGCTTTTCCTGGACCCAGACTATAGCTCCTCCTTCTGTTGAACCTACAATAGGGCTTTGAGGAGCTAGGCTATGACTATGAGGAGCAGCTTCTCCAAAACCAAGGTTGCCTCTTCTTGCTGCTGACTCTGCAACAGGACTGTGAAGAACTGCTCTTCAAGGAGCAGCATCTTTTGCATTGAGATCATCTCTCTCTTCTTCTGAACTTACAACAGGTCTGTGAAGAGCTGCTCTACAAGGAGCAGCATCTCCTGCATCAGGATCATCTCTCTCTTCTGCTGAACTTACAACAGGTCTGTAAAGAGCTACTCTACAATGAGCAGCGTCTCCTGCACAAGAATCTCTCTTCAGCTGGCTCTAGAGCAGGTCTCTCTGGTCTGACACAGAATCTCCTTCTCTAGAAATCTCCTGGCCTCTCAATCATATCCAGAGGTCGGTATACTTCTCATGATTTCTTCTTCTCCTAAGGTCATAGGTCTGGCTGGATAGTCTAGCTGATCCAAATCACCAGCAAGATCTGATCCTTGCATAGCATCATCTGGAGAAGATAGAGCAGCATCTGATATGTTCTGGTCTGTAATTGGACTGGCCGGTATGGTCACTATTGGACCAGCTCCAGAAACCATAGGAGACAAATCACTCGGTGATGCTGAGGATTCCGAGGATGCATATTCATGTTTAACAATGGCTGGTGACCTCCTTTGTTCGCTGGCAGGCATGTTGAAGATCCATCTATCTGATTTCAGTTAAAAGGTGCATGTCCCTGAGCTTTTGGTGTATACAAATGGAGTAAACACTACGTGTATACGGTTTAAAGGTTTAGGGTGCACTGCTCAATCTCTGGAACCTATTCTGCCAAGACTCAGAGAAAGGGGCGAGGAGTTTAGTATAATAGTAACCAAACTTTAAATATTACAACACAAGCTGACTCTCCACTTTTCGTGAAATTGATGTGGATTGCAAAGATTTAGAAATTAAAAAATTTGAGTTGGTTAAAAAAACCTCAATTCCTTTCGTTGTGAATTTTTCATACAGAAATTATAAACCCATTAGGACTTCAAGCAGTTACTTTAGCAGTCAAAAAGTTAAATGCCACCAAAAAAATAAACATTAAATTTTTACCTGATTACAAAAGATATATTTACGTTTGCTGGAATATTAGCTTTGGTGATGGGATCAACCTTGAAGGGGGAAATCTTCTTGTTATAATTAGATTTCACATTTATCATCCTAAACATTTTTTTTATTATGATTCTTTTTTATGTACTCTTTACAAAACTGATATCATAGCTAAAGAAATGGAGTCTTTGCATTGCCACAAACTCGTATTTCTTAAAACCTTTATTTATGCAACTCAAAGTCCTAAACCTTTGATAATTCGATCAAAGTATGAATTTTGTTAGATAAAATAATCTAAGTTTGAAATATCAAAGGTTTACACCGTCAGGTTGCAAATGTTTTCCTTCGAAGAAAAGTTGCAAGGTGTTAAAAGTGTTAAGGTTTTTATTTTCTGTATCTCTCAACCCAGAACGGGTTAAAAAAATGTTTTAAAAAGTAAAAAAGAATAAAAAGTTCTTAAGTGTAGAACCTGCAATTCTCCTCGTCTGATTCATCAACACAATTGGAGGTCTGATCACACCTTAAAATAATAATTCCTTAATAATCTTTAAAAAGAGGGACTACTAGAGTGATAAGTTCATTTTTAAGAAAATAATAATTTAGATTTTACCTTTCTTCCATATCTATACACTGGCTGTTAGTACAGGTAAATTCTCCTGACAAGAATAAAATGGTTTTAATAAGATTAAAATAGTAAGATATAAAGGTCTTAAAGGGACCGTAAACGTACTTAAAAGGGACATAAAGGCAATTCCCGATTTACAACTCTACCCTTGAAACATTTATCTGATAAATAATGTTGAAGATATTGTCGTTTTTTAATTTGAAAAGTATTTAATTCAGATATGTCTTCTTGCACAGATATGCGCAGGGCACTTCTGAAGAGAAACTACATTTGAAAACAGTCTGTTATCCAAATTATAAACATTGAGATTTATTTCATTCTTGATCAGATACCGCCTTGTGAATCGTGAATTGCAATCTTTGCATGTACGGTCACTTGAAATTATATGTACAGGGGAAAAGTGAAATGAGATGAGAAGAAAATATTCCTGTGGTTTTTAGGAAGTGTTTCTCTCTAAATTCCAGGATTAAAGAGGGATGAGATGAGGGGAAGATATTCATGAGGTTTTTAGGAAGTGTACGTCTCTAAATTCCTGGAATAAAGAGGGATGAGATGAGGTGAAGATATTCATGAGGTTTTTAGAAAGTGTACGTCTCTAAATTCTAGGAATAAAGAGGGATGAGATGAGGGGAAGATTTTCATGTGGTTTTTTGAAAATGGAAGTCTCTAAATTTTAGGATTAAAATGAGGAGAAGAGATTTCTATGGTTATTGTAGGTGGTCGACTCTACAATCCAGGAGGAGCTGGGTACCCGATTAAAACTTTTATTTGATAAGTAAAGAAGATATTGCCTATATCTGATTTATTAAAAATCTGTTTATCCTCTAATCTTAGGTTTCAGTAATCAATATCATAATCAGATTCTATTTAGGAAATATGATGCCAAACCTTTGTTCGAGTCTATGTAATTAATATTTTAATAAAGAATATGACGTTGTTCGAGTCTATAAAATTAAATATTTTAAAAAAGAACATAATGTTGTTCGAGTCTATAATTAAATATTTTAATAAAGAACATGATGTTCTTCGAGTCTATAATTAAATATTTGAATAAAGAATATGATGTTGTTCGAGTCTATAAAATTAAATATTTTAATAAAGAACATGATGTTCAAGTATAACAAAGAAATAGTTGAACATTTAATTTACTATTACGACAATTTCGCCATAATAAAGTGATATGATGGCAAAAGTTGCCTACAACAATTTTTTAGGCCACCCTCTAATCACTGTGTATACCCAAACAAAGGGAACAAAAAGTTACTGTAAAAATTTAGAAATTCTAAAAATTCTAAAAACCCCAAAAAGTTTACAATATTACCAGGTTCGCAGACAGAAAAGGTAATTTTCTTGACAGGGTTCTCCCCTTTTTTACTGCACTTCTCATCAGACGACTGACTTTAAAGAAAAAGGTTGAAAGAAAAAATTAAGAAATTAAGATCTAGTATTTACAAAATTAAGATTAGTTTACAAAATTAAGATTAGTTTACAAAATTAAGATTAATTTACAAAATTAAGATTAGTTTACAAAATTAAGATGAATTTACAAAATTAAGATTAATTTACAAAATTAAGATGATTTTACAAAATTAAGATTAATTAACAAAATTAAGATTAGTTTACAAAATTAAGATGAATTTACAAAATTAAGATTAATTTACAAAATTAAGATGATTTTACAAAATTAAGATTAATTAACAAAATCAAGATTATAATATACAAATTTTAGATTTCGATATTTACCTAAAATCCACCTTCTGAGTTCCCAAAATGAGAGAATTCAAAGTATTTGAAATGGTTGCTTGATGTCCTTCTTTTTTTCTATCAAACCATTCCCATCTAAATTTTTTAGCAGTTTTATTTCTGCAAAGGAATTGAGTATTTCACACAAACTATAATGTTATAATCCCTATATCTTTGCAACCTGTTGGTGTATTCCAAGCATTGACTATTTGATACGGCAATATTCACAATTTAAAGGAATTGAGATTTTACCACAAATCCCAATTTTAAAAAACCTAACTCTCAACAACCAGATGATGCATACCTTTCATATTTCAAACTTACAATGTTTGATCCACCGGAATTCATAATTTGAAATATCTACGGTCTACGACAATTGGTTTTAAAGAAATTGGGATTTAAAAATCCGCGTTTGTGGCAAAGACTCAATTCCTTTAACAAAAATATGGGAATGAAAAAAAAGAGTAATCAGTTCCTCGGTTTAAATATTAAGAAACATTTCATTATTTTTTTGCACTAAACTGTTTAATTGATAAATAATCAAAATAACAAATATCAAAAGAAATTCTTCAGTTTGGAAATTGTAAAAAATCCGAAAATTCTGTCCAAAAAGAATATATTCAACAAGACCAAATACAAATATTTTTTTGGAAAGCTTTTTTTTAATTAAAAATGAAATTGAATCTAAAATTTAAGATATTAAAATGTGGACAGTTTTGAATATTTTTAGATCATCAGAGCTGGTTTTTTATAAACTATAGGTAGGAGTAGGTGAGCTAGCTAGCTCAACCATTATTAATTCATATTTCTACTACTTAGATCTACTAACTAACTAAAGGGTATTTGGATGTAATTTTATATGTTCGTCCAATAATAGAATAGCAAATGCCCAATTTAAAATAATATTTTTTTAATCTTTGTCTAACCTAGAATGAACGAAATATCCATCAATTTCTTTTAGAAAATTAATCATTTTCAATTATGGTTTTTAAAAGTAATTTGCAAAACCATACTACAGTATCTCAAGGAAAAAAATGTTAGAATTCGCCACGGCGATATTTTTCCCATTGTTACCAAGATGTTACCAAGAATGCATCTAAAGGTTCCTTAATTCGGAAAAAGCAGTAGATAAATTTCTACCTGTCCTGTTCTACATTAAATGTTATTGTTGAAGTCAGCATCCCCCGTAGAAATGGTAATCCATCAAGCTAAAGAAAAAAATATTATGTAATTATTATCTTGTCATATTCTGTAATTACATGTGTATAATTATACATACCCCAATGTTGTACATATACCAACGGTCATAGGTTGACTGCTCACAGAGACCTCTTACGTTGATTTTTAGAATTGGTCCTTCCATCTTTACAATATTCATTTAAACAATTTTAGACATGCATTCAAGTTTAATTATTAAAACTGTTTTAGTTAAATATCTGATTTTGAAGGTACAGATTTGTATATATTAGTTATAAATTAGAATAGTCATTTGACCTAAGAAGACTGTCGAATATATCCAAAGAATATAGTTATAAGTTAAAATTTTTGTATAGGTCATTAATCATTTCTAAAAGCACTAATCCATTCAGTTCGCGGTCCAGCCGACAGATCAAGCTCATTTTTTTCTGGATATTTCTATAGATTAAAAGCAATCTCAAAAGTAGGGTTTACAAATTTTCGTTCCATTTCTTTCGCGAAAATTTCGATCAGGCAATGAAAAATTGAACGAAAACAAATTCGCGAAAACTTTCGTTAAAATTCACATCTTTTTGCGAAATTCAATCTTATTTTACAAACATTTTTAATAAAATATTAAGAATTTTTTAATTTTCGCTAAAACATTTTGTTGAAGAATTCTTTAATTGAAGTCAAAGTTGACAACAAAATTTGCTGATTTTAACATCCCTGACACATAGCAGTCGTTGCAGAAATATTTAAATAAAATTTAAGTCTTTTAGATTATTTGCCAAAGATTCACATCAAATATGATTTTTAATCGTCATGTTCAGTTGAACACCCTATGATAGATGAACAGTATTTATACACACATTAGATAATTCGTCTGCATATTAAATTAACGTTTATGTTTTAACAAGAATCATGAACCAGTTTATTACACATTACCCACAAAGGATCAGACTTAAGAAGCAAGAGTCAGAATTTGTTGGATCTTTGTTTATTTTTTAATGTTCCCCGCAGCTTTAAACTTATTTTTTCTTTGCCATATGATGGATTATACCATTCAACGAACTATTTTAAGATTGAAAAGTCAACTTCAACCTTCAGATCTTCATAGGTAAATTTTGAATTTTGTTCATTTTTTTTCGCGAATTTTGTTCAACGAAAATTTCGATGGAAACCTAACTCAGAAGTATACAGTCACACAAAATTTCTGACCTTAGGTCAAATAACGTTCTAAAAAAGGTTTGGATGAAAATTTAAATTTGATTTAAATATTTGGACCTGGCAGATCCCACAGTCTATCCATCCCCCCGAGCATTCGACATCAGTGACCCGAGCATCATTTACTATTCCTCGTAAACCTTCAGTAGCCGTGACATCCAGGTTTAAAGTCATACAGTTGTATTTATGAGTTCCTTAATAAGTTTTACATACAGTTGTATTTATGAGTTCCTTAATAAGTTTTACATACAGTTGTATTTATGAGTTCCTTAATAAGTTTTACATACAGTTATCACCAACTGTAATTTTTATTTCTGAAATTAAAATTTGCTAAGCCCTTATAAAGTCGGAAACTATTTAATGAAACGGATCGGACTTTTCACACATCTAGGACCTGTAAGAACATTTAGTTTTATTACATTAAAACCCAAAGTTGTTCATATCAGGTCGTCAATGCATTTTTACAAAGCTTTGAAATCTTAGAAGAACTTGATCTGTCTCCTTCAGATTAATCTTTAATTTCAATCAAATAATATAAAATGTTGTGCAAAGAAATTGAGTTTTTGCCACAAACTTAAATTTTCGAATTCCAATATCTTAGTGACCTGATGTTGTAAACATTTGATATTTCAAACTTAGATCAGTTGAGCTAACAGAATTCATAGTTTGAAATATCTAAGGTCTACGACATTTGGTTGGGACAATATAAGGATTAGAAAATCAGAGTTTATTGCAAAGACTCAGTTCCTTTTCAAACTAAAATCTTGAAAGTATAATTTTGACAACCTTAAAATGTCTACCTCCGTATGGTCTATTATCAGCGAAGGGTACATGATTTACTTTCAGGCTTGCATTATAAATATCCAACCATTCTCCTTCAACTTGTTCATCTGTGGCACTTATGTATGTTGATATTCTAAAATAATAATATATTCACAGAGAAACAACTAAGAGTTTCCCTCGGTATAAAAAAATGAGTTTAGTTTGTACATTTCTTTATAATATATAATATATAATATATAATATATTATATATAATATTTAATATATAATATAATATTTATATAATATATAATATATAATATATAATATATATTTTCTGAACAAAAACTGTTTTCTAAAAGAAGTTTCTTGTCACTTTGTGCCCTAAAGGTTAGAGAACCAAAATGTGAGTAGAGACAGATAGTATAACAAAATGGCGGTTTTACACTTAACTTAGTAAATATGTCTAACAATCACACCATCAAAAATAAAATTCATATTTACTTTTAAATTTACAAGAATATTTATGAGTGTTAAGAGTTTTAAAAACATGAGCGCTAAAATATTTTGTTTTACATAAAAAATTTTAAAAGAAATTAATGAGAAATAAGTGTTTACCCATAATGCCTGTCATTGTCTTTTTTTTGCACAGCACAGACACTAGACTAAAATAATTATAGATTTTCATACTCTGTAGAACCATGAACTTTTGGCCTGTTTTGCTTTTAAATAATATTTATCTAATAGTGAGTGTTTGTGAAAAATGAAGCGAGTTTAAGATTCTAGTCAAATCTTATCGGTATTATTTACATTATATAAGCCAGATATTAAAACAACATTATTTTAATGTTAAGTGTTTCTTGGAACCAGACTATTTATATATTTAATTTATTTTCTGAAACTTCGAATAAAGTTGAAAATAATTGTTTCCACCATACAAAGTATTAAAAAAATGGAATGTCTTTGTTCTCTCCACATTTTAGAAAAAAATATCAGTTTTAAAATGCTAGATTTTTAATTTCAATAACAGAAACTAAGTTTTTTAGACTGATTCGGTTTCCCTTTTCTAATAACAGTTTAAGCATTCATCTCCTGCTTTCAGCCTAAACTGGTGTTTTTTTAAACTAAATGTCGGCAACATTTTTGGTCATTTTTTTTTGCTTTGACTGTCCAGAATCCTCCCTTGGAGTCTTGTAATTCGCCACAAAAAAAAGCAGACAGACAAACTTATATAAATGTATGTAAAGAAGAAAAGTACAACCAATTCCACTGTTTTCTGGTTACCACTGTATAGTGAATATCCCCTTCATGTTTGCCCGGAACAGTCTAATCAAAATGTTGAATTGAATGTTAAAACCTGCAAGAAGTCTGATTGTGAATAAAATTTCACAACTTTGTTGAATCCAGCTTCATCGAGATATCCACCTAGTCTAAATAATATTTTCATATTTTACAATTACGTTTAAGTCTCTCTGATTCTATTCCTTTTCCAAAGAAGTTAATATCTGTAAGACTGGAAGCTCTTTTTGCCAAATTTTTCACTCTAATCGTTAAATGATAATTTCAACAATTTTACATTATTTCAGAAAGGTTTGAGAAAGAATGTTTTAGAAGTTCTATTTTTCTAGGAATCATAACAGCTATGGTTGTTCAGTAAAGTGATTGAATCTAAATTTATTATCAACATAGCTATGGTCTTATTTGTGTTCAAAGGAATTAAATATTTGCCAGAAACTCTGATTTTCAAATCCCTATACTTTTGTAACCCGATGTCGCAGACCTAAGATATTTCAAGTTATGAATTCCAGTCGATGAAATAATCTAAGTTAAAAGTATCAAACTTATACGCAATTAGGTTGCAAAGAGGAATTAGAAATCTGAGTTTGTTGCAAAGACTTTTTCTGTGTTTAGTGAATATCTGTTTTCTTTAGTCCTACGTTTTAACCTGGCCCAAGGTTATAATGCTAGGAAAGTTAATTTTAGTTGCGTATACTCTGCGTACATATTGAAACCAGTTATCTCTGGGTGGAATTTATAAACAAGAATAGATGCATCAGTGTTCGTTTAGTATTCGTAGATGGTTAAAAGCATTGAATTTTGATAATTTTGATGATTCACAGAATAGTTTCCTATGACCAGAATAATTCATTGATTTTTTATGTGAAAGATTGATCCCATGTCAGGCTTCGACATCCGCCTTGTGTTTACATTATCACCAAAAGATAGTACACTGTACATTGCAGTACAAAAGATGCGTACACCTCTCAAATGACTTTCCTTGCATTATAACCTTGACCTGCCCCAAGTTTTTCTTTGTCCTCCATATTGTCCTTGTTCTATGCTTTTCTTTGTCCCACATATTGTCCTTGTTCTATGCTTTTCTTTGTCCCACATATTGTCCTTGTTCTATGCTTTTTTTGTCCCACATATTGTCCTTGTTCTATTCTTTTCTTTGTCCCACATATTGTCCTTGTTCTATGCTTTTCTTTGTCCCACATATTGTCCTTGTTCTATGTTTTTCTTTGTCCCACATATTGTCCTTGTTCTATGCTTTTCTTTGTCC